GTCTACGAGCATAGCATAGCAATATAAGCATAACGTAGAAGTAACTCCCAAGGATTTGATAATAAAACAGGTAATAGGTTCTACCTCATCAACTACTTCCCAATACCCACATGCTAATCACATCCTAATCATGCAGTGTTTGAGGATTGTAACTAATGCATAAAAACTGGGTATGAAAGAGTATGATCAATGTGTTACTTGCCTTGCTGACGATCTGCAAAACCTAGTGACTCATAGTAGCACGCTTTGCACTTCGGGAATTCTATCGCAAACAAACAATAGCATACATAACCAATCAAGCAAAGATGCACGGGTAAATCTCAAATAAGAAGACCTAACCAGAAGTTCAACTAAAGAACTCCGGTTTACAAAAAGAATCAAATCAAACGGAGCAACGAAACACAAACTACGAAAGAAACAAGAGCCGATTACTAATCTGGACTGAAGTCAAATTTTACAGTACCAAAATCTTATTCAAGTTGGTTAAACAGAAAGAAGGCTTCGAGACAAAGATCTAGGCGCTTGTTTCACACGATTTGGATAAACGAGCGAAAAGATATACTAGATCGAAGATTAGGGCAGAAATCGCGATCGAAAATAATTGCGGAAAAACCCTGGAAAAAGAAAAACTGACGAACAGGCTAACGAACGAACGTTCGCTGTCTGTGACTAACCGGCGAACAACGTTCGTTAAAATGAGCGTACGGACGAACGTCCGCTAAATAAGTAAACCGACGGAAAAACCGATCAAACCGATCTATTTAAAAAAAACTAGATTTAGGGTTTTCCAAAAAAAACAACGGAAAAACAAATAAAATAAATACTAAAGGGACTCCAAAAATCCTGAAATAAATTTTCACGGTCCTTTAATAATATACCGGACAAAGTGCAAATTTATTTGGGACTCTAATGCAATTTTGAAAAACACATATTTTTTTCCTAATTCAAATAAAATTGCGATAAAATCCAAATAAAATTTATTCATTTGATGTTAATATTTTTCCTCCAACATTTCACTTATTTTTGGGGAAGTCATATTATCTCCTCTCATATGTTTTAATATGAAATGTTTTCAGAGAGAAAAATTATTAAAACCAAAATGATCCTTGCCTCAATATTTGATAAAATTCAAATTTGAAGAACATGAAATCCCCAACTCTCTCCGTGGGTCCTTGAGTTGCTTAGGATTTCGAGGATCGCGAAACGAAATGCAATAAAATATGATATGCATGAATGACCTATATATAACATTCCAAATTGAAAATTTGGGATGCTACAATCTGTCTTTACGTCTCAACCATTTCGAGACTTCTTGTCATGTCCGTGATCTCATCCGGGACTCCGAACAACCTTCGGTACATCAAATCACATAACTCATAATACAAATCGTCGTCGAACGTTAAGCGTGCGGACCCTATGGGTTTGAGAACTATGTAGACATGACCGAGACACATCTGCGGTCAATAACCAATAGCGGAACCTGGATGCTCATATTGGCTCCTACATATTCTACGAAGATCTTTATCGGTTAAACCGCATAACAACATACGTTGTTCCCTTTATCATCAGTATGTTACTTGCCCGAGATTCAATCGTCGGTATCACCATACCTAGTTCAATCTCGTTACCGACAAGTCTCTTTACTCGTTCCGTAATGCATCATCTCGCAACTAACTCATTAGTCACATTGCTTACAAGGCTTATAGTGATGTGCATTACCGAGAGGGTCGAGAGATACCTCTCCGACAATCGGAGTGACAAATCCTAATCTCGATCTATGCCAACCCAACAAACATCTTCGGAGACACATGTAGAGCGTCTTTATAATCACCCAGTTACGTTGTGACGTTTGATAGCACACAAGGTGGTTCTCCAGTATTCGGGAGTTGCATAATCTCATAGTCAGAGGAACATGTATAAGTCATGAAGAAAATAATAGCAATAAAACTCAACGATCATAATGCTAAGCTAACAGATGGGTCTTGTCCATCATATCATTACCTAATGATGTGATCCCGTTTATCAAATGACAACACATGTCTATGGTCAGGAAACATAACCATCTTTGATTAGCGAGCTAGTCTAGTAGAGGCATATTAGGGACACTGTGTTTTGTTTATGTATCAAGTTTTCAGTTAATACAATTCCAGCATGAATAATAAACATTTATCATGATATAAGAAAATAAAATAACAGCTTTATTATTGCCCTCTAGGGCATATTTCCTTCAATGGGAACTACGACCGATGACGGTGTTTACTCGGGGGAGAGACAGGTGTTGGAAAGATAGTTTTTTTTATGATAGGAACGGTGTATTAGAGATGCATATACAATTCAACTCTCTGCAGAGCGTGCATGTTCTTATATTTTTCCAAGAGAGTAAGTGTGCAGGAAAAATAAAAAAAGTCTTTGTACTGCAACGGATAAATAATATTAACCAACATGAGGGACGGCTTTTGAATTTCCTATGTGTAATGATACAACAACGTTAGCGCAACACATGAATGCTTTCAACTACCTACATCCCGAACACCATCAAGCATCGTCTTGTAATTTAGTTTAAATTAATCATCATGAAGAGTTCACAATCCCGAGCGAACACCATTCACGCAGTCCAGCTCGTGGTCCACCCCGTCCCAACCATCATCATCGTCGGATGTCTAGCCGACCAGCTCATCTTCCTTCATGCAAAAAAAAGCCTACGGGATGGACTTTTCTCTTTTGTACTAACCCTCTGTTTATGTAACCCCTCTGCTAATGGATTGAATTCAGGTTTCTATTTTGTACCAACCCTTTGTTTATTTTATTCCTCTGCTAATGGATTCTCTTATGTACTAACCCTCTTGTGTAGGCAGCTTCTTGGTATTTTAGGCAACTTTGCCAGCGTATATGAATTGGTAAAAATCAGTATAACCAATCAAGATAGGACTATCTGTATCTATATCTATACCATTATTATTATTATTATTATTATTATTATTATTATTATTATTATTATTATTATTATTATTATATTTATTTTTTTACTAATAAAATAAATAGGTATTCTTGGTCCGTCTTGGTATTTTATAGAAAACTTCCTAATGTTTCTGACATTAAACCCACGGTACATATCAAATATTGTTTTAAATACGCATATCTTCTAAACCGTAACTCCAAATTTAACATGTTACATATGAAATTTAATTAGAAAAATATGTAAAATCTGAATATGATGTTATTTTACTTGTTAACCATTTAAAAAATACTATGAGGCTGCAATGTTAATCAACAATGCATTATTCATATTTTTTTCATACCGGTACTGATTCAATAAAGATGGGATGTCCGCTATAAAAGAAATAAAAGAGAAAATGCAGAGAAGATCCGATAAAAATGAGATGTAGCGCTATTCTCCGATATATAAGAAGAAGAAGAAAAAGCGGACATGCATGAAAAAATGTAAACATGAGGCATGCATGACAAAAAATAAAATAAAAGACAAGTTTGATAAGATGTAAATAGTGATGAAATAAGAACCAATACCTATGACATGTATGGCAAGAAATAGTGATGAAATAGGGACACAAGTACTTGCATCGACAGGAGACTATACAAAATGTCTTTTCCAGACAAACAAATATCTACTTTTATGATTAAAAAATTATATATCTTTTTAACAACTCTTCATGTATTTAAGAAATATGCATGTGAAAAAAAGAAATATGCATGTGAAAAAAGTGTTCAAGAGTTACTCTAAGTTAGTTATTGTTAAATTGAAAATTGTCATTGATGCACACATGTCTCCGTAGTGTACTAATATGCCATCGTTTGTTTTTGTCGTTTTTCTTTACTCGCCCGTAACAACACCCCGCTCCAAACATGACATGAACAAATGCATGATTGCTTGCCCATTTCGTTGTACGGATTAAATCTACATGCAAACCGTGTGAAATAAAACACATGTACAATCTTAAACTGCGCTTGTATAGGTTAAGACTATCTTTGTTTGGGCCCTAGCTTTAAATTGTCATATTATAGACCATTTTTTGTAAATTAAGAGTGTGTGGTATTTTTCTCTCCGGCTGTTACACACGGTTCTTTTTACTAGTTCAACAAAAAAGATGTATCCATCCTCTCTCGTTTGTAGTACTGCTAAATAAAAATGCCCTCTTTATGAATTGTACGACTTGCCTATATATAAAAGAAATTCTGAAACGTGACTTGTGGCCCATTAGCGCAGCTATTCGATGCAGAGAAGGCCTCCCATTACGTGAGAGGCCAGCGTAGTACAAAGTTTCATAAGCGAGGTACGACTTATGAAAATCAGAATAACCTCGTAGGTTAAGCGAAGGATGGACGAAAACTATAACGACGGACAAATAATTAGGAGAAAAAAACGATCAGTACTTTATTAGTAGGTATAAATATAGATTTAGGGTAGCTCACCACTACGGTATTCCGTTCCCTTTTGAACAAAACCTTTTTTGAACAAAACCTGCGCGCACGAACTCTTTTCAAATTCTAATGACTGACTGGTACACCAAACATATCGCCTTTTCTATCTCCAAGATCAATCTCAATACTGAATCGTTCAAAGTTAGTTTTTTTTTCACCTTTAAAAATGAACACTGGGCAGAGCACGGCACGTTGCTCTGAAGTCACCAACCGCCATTATATTAGAATCGTAAAGCTTTTTGACCAAACAATCATGCGTCACCCGCCCTAAGTCTAACCTGTAGCAAATCACGCGTCACCTGCCCTAAAGTCTAACCTGTAGGAAGGGAACCTCAAATCAGAACATGGCGTTCATTTTCAATTTCAATTGCTTCCAATCAGAACAATAGCCAAACCATAAGGTTACATCAAGTAGCTCGGATCAAACCAACTTACTATACCAGTAGAGACGATACAATCTCTGGAAGAAACGAACACGCCACATACAAGCAACATTAAAGTCAGCATTGCAATCTATACTTAGATGCGCAGCCGCTTGACCCGGCGCATGCATGCACCTCGAATCACTGTTCCTCCAGAAGGTCGTCGCTTTCGTCGCCGAAAGCGGCCCGGGTCGAGCAGACCCTCGCCTCCGAGAACACCGTTCCCGGCCGGCAGAAGTAGCCCTTCTCTGGCGCGCAGTGCGAGTCCTTGGAGCAGACGCAGAGCCCTTCAATGGCGCACCCTTTCTCGACGATGTTGGGGCTCCCTTTGATGCCGAGCACCTGGTCGCTCCACTCGCTGGAGAAGATCCCGTCGGGGTCGTACCTGGCCTTCACCTTGAGGAACTCAGCGGCCTTGGGGTACTTGGCGATGACGCCGTCGAAGACGAAGTTGCGGTTCTTGCCCCAGTGTGGGACGGCGCCGTACTTGCGCAGCGCCAGCTGCTCGATCTCGTCGACCACGTCGGAGTTAGCGCGCGGCTCGCCCTCAGTGTAGCTCCGGTAGTAGGTGACGTCGAAGTCGATCGAGTCCTCAGATTTCCCGAGATAAGCTGAAGAGGCCCTGACGTAGCGGAGGAGCACGCCGAGCTTGGCGTCGAGGCCGCAGAAGGCGCGTGGCTTGAGGTCGCGGAGCTTCTGCATCTCGGCGATGAACGCCGGCTCCTTCGAGAGCGCCACGCTGAAGCCGGAGTTGTAGAAGAAGGGGCTCCGGATGCGTGGGTCCCACGTGCAGGAGGAGAGGAGGCCGTCCTCCGGGCTGCTGATGCACGTGCCGGACGCCTGGATGCGGTTCTGGAACCCCACCACCGGCCACCCTGTGAAGAATGAGCCGTCGTTGGTGAAGCCGTAGGCCTGCAGCTCGAACAGCACGGACGGCGCCCGCGCCGCCAGGCACCTGGCGATGTCGCTGCCGTCCTCCTCCAGGTGCTCCTCCGTGGCTCTGGCGGTTATGAGCGCGAGCGTCGGGTTGGATCGAAACCCGAGATAGTCGTTGAGGCCGTTGCCCTTGGTCGAGACGGGTACGCGATCGTCCTTGCGGTAGATCACCTTGCCTTGCCGCGGCAGCCACGCCATGTCACCGAACTCGTACAGCCCGCCCCACATGGCCGCCTGCGATGCGAAGTCCGTGTCGTCGCGCTTCTCAAACGTCACTGATCGCTTGAACATCGGCTGCAAGGCGAGAGTAACCTGCACATGCATGTACACCCATAAATTAGCCCTTTTTTCATCCGTAAAAATAGGTAGATCAAGCTCCCCGAACCCATAAACTAGCCAGCATACCTTGCTCGTGCTGGTTGATTAGTCGTACTTAGTTTTCATTCCATGGACATGGAGAGTTGTTAGCCTACTAATCTAAATTTATCTTTTACTCCAAAGCAATTAGAAGAGTAGTTACGATCCATGCATGCATGGATGCACCAGCAAGTAGCCAAGTACATACTCGGCGTCCCCCGCATAAAAAAGGTACATGCTCGGCAGTTGATATTTTCCACGACATATATGCACGAAAGAATCCGAAACAAGCATGCACAAAAGAATTTTCTTCTTGCGTTTGTACGAAGCCGCGTAGGTAGTACCTGGGACACGACGCCGAGGACGCCGAGGGAAACCTTGACCGCGTCGAGGTCGGGGTCCCCGACGCTGAGCTCCCTGACCACGGCAAAACCCTGGCTGGCCGGTGCGGGGGTGACGATCCTCATCCCTACCACGTACTCGTGCACGGGCCCCACAGCGAACTGCCGTGGGCACCCGTGGCGAGGAGGCCCCCGATGGTGAGTCCGTACCAGTAGGGCGAGTGCGGCAGCGCGAGCCCCGCCGCGGCGGCCGCCTGGATCAGGTCCTTGAGCACCATGCCGCTCTCCACCGTCATCAGCCCCTTGGCAGCGTCGACGCTCACCGTCTTGTTGAGCCGCTCCGTGCTGATGATCGTGCCGTCGCGGCCGCCGGGGCAGGCCAGCTTGGTGAAGCTGTGGGAGTGCCTGGTGGCCACCTTAACCTTGCGCTTGGACGCGGCGGCGGCAGCCACGGCGGCCACGAGCTCCTTCTCGGTGCGCGGGAACGTGGCGTTGGCCGCGCGGCAGATGGTGCGGTCCGGGAAGGAGCCGTACACGTTGGTGACGGTGCAGTCGGACGTGCCGCGGGCGCACTCCACCGGCTCCGGCGGCGGGCTGGATCCGGCGAGGCCGAGAAAGAGCCCCAGGAGGAGAAATGTAAGCACCCTTCTACGTCCTGTCATTGCTCTTGACACTTTGCTAGTCGACCTTGTAACACGTGCCGCTAATGTGTAGAGTATGTGTTATGGAATGCGAGTGAATGACTACCGCTGTTAGCCAAGGCAGGCATTAAATAGCTAAGCAAGGGCATGGCCGGCTTGGTGTGCAATTTCCTCGCTTGTTGAACTATGCCGAAGTCCTTGTCGTGCCATCGAGGATCGTCGTAACCCATGCAGCGTCGAATGGACCGTTCGCGCGCGTAAGATGGAGCCCCACGTTTTTTGCACAATTTGTTCTTCTTGAGTGAGTGTTGATCCAGAGTTGGTGCACGTATTCATTGTTCGCTAGTTCCTAGTTGTGTTTTTAAAATTAAGTATGTCCACGCGCGGTTGGTGAGGCCACACATGAATATATTCATCAGGTCACTAATTTATTGTTCATATATGGTCTTTTTGGCAAAAGATTCACATAGGTTTATTTGTACACACTAGCAAAAGGGTCTGTGCGTTGTAACGGGAGAAAAAAATACCACACGCCCCTAACACAGTAACCATGGCTCAAGACCCCAATAGGTTCACATCCTTGATTTGAACATGACATCTTATGTCGCTTGTTGTTTATCCTTCTTCCCACCTCCGCCGACGGACATGTATGATTATAGATAGTTTCTCTCAGCCCTAATTTGGTTTTACGGAAGTGTTCATTTTCAATCCGGATCGGCACCGGTACGAAGGAAAGACGGGTCATGCACTACTGATTAAGGCTTTATCCTAAACAATATTTTAAAAATTATTAACAGGTGAAACAATATCATATTTCGATTCTACACACTTTTTATTTAATTTTCGTATATAACATGTCAAAACTGGAGTTAGGGTTTAAAAGATTGAATATTTTAAAGCATTTGAACCTGTCCCTGAACATTATTTAAAAATGGTTAGCGGGTAAAAGGAACATCATATTCAGATTCTACACATTTTTTAATCAATTTCATATATAATAGTCAAAATTGGAGTTACGGTTTAAAAGACATGAATATTAAAACCATTTAAATATGTAAAATAAACGTTATTTTCTAGACGAATGGCATGGTTATTAACCGAAACCTTAGGGGGTTTTATGCAACAAACGAAATGCTTTTTATTCTCACTTAAAATAGGACCGTGGGTTAATTAACCTAAACCTAAGGGGGGTTTTCGGTAAAATGTGAAACACATTTATATTGTCACTTAAGACGTTACGGTG